AACCATCGTAGAGATTTTGATGCCTTGACTTTGAAATTTGGATCTAAGGACATGATACTTTGGAAAGGAGTTTCCTATTTTGTTTTCACAGAGGATGAGACCCTGTTCATTTCTCCTATTCCGATATGGTATGATGGACCACGCCCTCCTGAACGGTTGCTGTGAATACCTTCAGAAAATTGCTTCACTCAACTGCCAACTGAGATGGCCCTAGCACACAGGTTATACCATGAAAGACCTAATTAACGACGCCCCCATTCAGCAGGAAGCAGTTTGGAGAGAGAAAACTGCGCCCATGTTCCCAAATATGGTTTATAAATGTTCTTTTACATTTAAAGGGGGAGATGATATAGGTATGAATAATTTACATTGATATGGATTTTGCTTTAGTGATTTAAATTTAAGATTGTAATTTTTACTTGATAACTGTTTTGTGCCCTGCTCTAGGCCCATCTGCACCTGAAGTACTTGCTCCCTCAGCTCCGGGCCCTGCGAGGCGCTCTCTTTCCCAGATGCTTTTCATTTGTCCTTCCTTGGGGAAGATGAAGGACCCTGGGGCTGACCCTGGGGCTGGCTTTGAGACACTATTCGTGCCCAGAACCTTATCTCTTAGAATTATCTTTTTCTAGATATTTTCTCTGCAACCTGGCCATATCATGTCTGAAGACTGCCAGAGTGTCTAGCAGAGGACACTACCCGTGTCCACTAAGCCACCACCTTCTTTGAAACGCTGTGGCGCTGATGTGGTAAGTGTCCTGTCAAGGCAGAAGAGGTGGCTTCTCACAGGCTAGGTGCTCCAGACCAGGTCATAGGCCCAACAATGGAGGCTCCCCTAAGGCAGCCGAGCTTGGCTACCTGGCCAGCTGGACTAGCTCTGCCCTGGGTAGGAAGACTGTGATGAAGGCATCTACATGCACAACAGCCTCCTCTGGGTATCAGGATGCCTGGGCAGGCTGGATCTGTGCACAACAGCCTCCTCTGGGTATCAGGATGCCTGGGCAGGCTAGCGCTGTGCACAACAGCCTCCTCTGGGTATCGGGATGCCTGGGCAGGCTAGCGCTGTGCACAACAGCCTCCTCCGGGTATCAGGATGCCTGGGCAGGCTGGATCTGTGCTCAACAGCCTCCTCTGGGTGTCAGGATGCCTGGGCAGGCTAGCGCTGTGCACAACAGCCTCCTCTGGGTATCAGGATGCCTGGGCAGGCTGGCTCTGTGCACAACAGCCTCCTCTGGGTATCGGGATGCCTGGGCAGGCTAGCGCTGTGCACAACAGCCTCCTCTGGGTATCGGGATGCCTGGGCAGGCTAGCGCTGTGCACAACAGCCTCCTCCGGGTATCAGGATGCCTGGGCAGGCTGGATCTGTGCTCAACAGCCTCCTCTGGGTGTCAGGATGCCTGGGCAGGCTAGCGCTGTGCACAACAGCCTCCTCTGGGTATCAGGAGACCTGGGCAGGCTGGCTCTGTGTACATGTAAGTCACACACATCTGCTGCACACACTGCATGTGCCTTCTGCATACTGTATGTGCACAGTGCAAGCCCACACCTAATCACAGGGATTCTTGTGCAAAGGAACCAAGGACTCAGTGGACAGATGGGAGGGGGGTGGAATGGATGAAGCCCATGGAGGATAAAGGCTGAAGTGTGTGCCAGGATGCCCATCACTGGGCATCTTGTGAGGGAAGGGGCCTCAGGTGGGGTTGGAGGCCTGGACTGTGAGCTGAGTGGTGTGTGGTGGTGTTGTGTGGCGCTAAGGTGAGTGTGTAGGCCACCTGGGGCCAGGAGAGCCAGGAACGACCTCATAGCTCCTCATGCTACAAACGCATGTTCTTCAGCATGTCTGGGCCAACACTACCTCCCAACACACAGTGTGCCGGTGTCATTTGCCCCCACCCAGCCACCGCCACCTGAAGGCACAGCGGCCGCCCCCACACGCACCTGCTGTACTTATCGTCGTATCTGCAGATGTAGCTGAGGTGAGCAGCAAAGGCCTCCACAGCCAGAGGGCAGGGGATTTCCCCACTCCTCCTCTTGATGATGACACCTGTGGGGGACATGTGGGGCGCTCAGGCTTCTTCCAGGCACTTAAGCACTTCCCCGTGTTCCTGGCTGCCCAGTTCCTGGGGGTGGCGTGGCGTGGGGAACTGCATCAGCACCACCCATCGGGTGCTTTAGCAGAGAGGGGTAGGGACGCTGAAGGCAGCAAGTGCAAAGACATCTGCCACCAAGGGGGCACAGGGCCAGTGACACCCACAGGCAACTCTAAGAAGCACAGAACACTACCAGGATAAGCCTGAGAGGAACTGAGGGGAAGCAGCGCTCTCTCTTCCTCCCCACAGTGGCTGACTTGGTCAAGGGCTGCTGGGAGGGGGACAGTGGCAGTTTCTCTGCGCCCTTTATTGTGTGGGTGGGATCATATCACAGAGGAGCAAGGAGGCCGCCCCTCCACACCAGGCCCAACCCCCTCACACCTCTCAAGGTCCTTTCCTGGGGCTTGGGCTGGAAAGTTCCCTGCCTTCCCACTGTTACCCATCACTGACAGACACATCTACCTCAGAATTCTTGGCACATACAAAGGGAATGCAGCTAATGCCTCCAAAGTCATAGCACAAGTCACAACCAGCAGAGCCTGGGGACCAAGAGAACCCACAGGACCTCCCCGTTCCATTACACCAATGGCTGCTGTATGATGCCTGTCCCCTGGCCTGCCCTGCACTGTCTGCCTAGCCTCTGCCGGACACAGGGACAAAGATGGAAGTGTCCTTCCTAGCACAGTGTGCACCGGGCGTGCACCAGGCATGCTTAGGAAGGGTGTCCCACTGTGCTGGCTAGTTTTAGGTCACACGACAGAAACACATACTATACGGAGGATGTACACACTGCCGCAGAAGCACATGTGGATCACACATGTAACACAACCATACATACATTGTACCACTACATATACATGTATATATACACATACATGAGCGCACACACACACGTGTGCGTGCCACGGGAGCCTGCATGTCACACTCCCAGCATGCAAACAAGGAATGCAAGCAGTGCACGTGAATGCCACATTGGAAGCAGCTCTGCAGATTCCTTTGCAATCGTCAATTTTTCTCTCAGCAGTTTAACACTGTCTTAACTGTCAGTTACTTTAAATACAGACTCTGGGCTAATTAAGTCCCTCTGTTCTGAATCGATTTTAAATCCCCAGAGAACTAGTGAGGAGAGCAGTGGGCCGCCTGGCAGCCAGGATTACACAGGCGCTTTGCTTGCAGGAGTCCATGATGATAAGATGATCCACGCATCCACGCAGAATGCAGCGCATCATTATGTTCTAAACAATGGGAGCATCACACCCTAACAAGCAGGTAGGTCACAAAGCCACGTCAATCAAATCCTCCCAGCTTGCCAAGGGCTGCACGAGGCTCTTCCCTACCCCTTCCTAGGACACAGTCAGCATGAGGGTGCCCCAGGCTTGTGCCCTGGATGCCCCTGACTTCCAAGACCCACACTCACACTCCCCACTCACCTTGCTGCACAGGGGAGTAGGCATTGGTCAGGAAGCGGAAGTGCCCCTTGTTATACCAGCAGATCAGAGACATGTTCCCCTTTGTCCTGATCTGGTACTGGCCCCGGGCGAGTGGGGTGGCAGGGTTGGTCAACATAGATGGAGGAAGGCCCGTGCAGTCGCTTTTCCTAGAGCTCAGTAGGCCACAGCAGTAGATCCCTGGCAGGAAAGATGCAAAATCTCACATGTGCCATTGTCAGGGTGCCCCACCCACAACCCAGGGAAGGAGGGACAGGTGCAAGCAGAACCCTCAGAAGCAGCTGCTGAGGCCCTGTCCATATCCAATCACTCTTGTTCAGCCAGTTCTCTGCCCATCTCCTAGCTTACTGAGCCTTGGATCTCAGAAGCAACACTTTTGACTTCTGGGGAAGCAGCCCCAGTGGTCCAGGCCATGCTCTGGTACCAACACTCAAGCTGCTTACTCCCCCCCCCCTCTCTCTCTCTCTCACACACACACACATACACACACACACAAACACACAAACACACATAGATAGAGGGGGCATAGAAAACACAACTCCCAGTACTGACAGCAAACCCAGGTGGGAGTGGACCATCAAATACATCTGTGCAGACACCATCAGGGGTCACGCCTCTCTAAACATGCCTCCGCAGACATGGCTCAGGCAGCAGGCCAGCTGCCCACTGTGTTTCATGGAGAGCCGGATCTCCTCCAACACTTCTGCGTCATGTGTTCTAGGACCAGTTCTGCAGCTTTCCTTCCCCCCTCAGTCTGATCGCTTGCTGAGCTCTCGCCACAGATGAGTTCTGAGCCTGCCCGCGACGGCCAGAGCACAGTCGTCACCCTTACCTAGCCTGCAGTGCAGACAGTCACCCTTACCTAGCCTGCAGTGCCGAGGTGGACTGCTCCCCCACTTCCACACAGCTTCCAAGGCCCAGGGTGTAAGCTGCTTATTCCTCCACAATACAGGAGGGTTCAGTTTTAAGGCCTCACGTCTACTGTGTGGCAGAGCAAAATGCCTCGATTCTAGTAGCTTCTGTCTATGAGTGACACTTTCTGAGCTGTCTCCAAGCACAGCTTAGCATTTTTACATCCAACTTCTGTCAAAGCCATGGGAAGCTTATCAAGTCCCTGACCACACAGGTCTCTGCTGGACGGGAAGGAGAGTCACTAGTGATGGTGGGTGATTCTCTTACTAGGAGCTTTTCCTCCAGGCCCCTGATGGCCAGAACCACACAGCAAAGGACACACACGAGTGCCCAGAAGACTGGCAGAGCTCTGTGTTGATGTGGTCTCTAGATGGTGAGCCCAGGACTAACACCTTGAGATCACTAGAACCCAGACATGGGGCAGCCGAGACGCCTGTGCAGTCTGTGCTGGCCACCACTTCTGTCCTCTTCACCTCCCACCCCTTCCCCAAGGAGCTGGCCACGCTGGGATGGCCACTGGACAAACCTTGCTTCTCAAATTCTTCAAACAGGGTGAGGCTGGTGATACTGGGCCCTGTGAAGATGATATAATTCTTCCCAGCCGCGTTCCGGCACAGGCTCCGGGCCACCATGCCATGGAGCTGGGGCTTGTTCTTCAGAGCATCCAGGCCATCTGGGCCACCACCTTCCTTCAGGTGGACATAGATCTTGAACGGAAATGTACAGAGGTCAGACAGTCAAAGGCAACATGGACCATAGCATGAAGCTGCAGGACACATAGGGGCAGAGAACATGAGGAAGCTACCCCAGTATCTCATCAGCCTCGTGCAGTCCTAGGTTACCACCATGGCAACCCAAAATCTGAGCAGCTGGTGGTTCAGCCTGGAGGCTTCTTTCTGGAAAAGTCTAGGTGGGAAAGGAGCAGTTACAGATGGCAAAACTGGCAGTTAAAAGTGATGCAAACATGCTTCTAATTTCTCAAACATAAATAAGAATATAAAAAGCATAGAAGCAAGGGCCACTTCAAGGGGTAGGCACGCTCTTATATAGGCACTGACCACTGGGCAAAATGACCAGTCAGCTCAAAGGCAGGCAGAGCAGGCCTCACCTGTCTCACCATACCAGAGATACAGTGGAGGTCAGACACACCCAGGGGCCAGGTCATCAAAGAGGGGGTGTTGAACTTAGGAAGCAGTCCCTACACAATCCATGCCAGCTCCGTGACTGCCACCAAAGGTGTGGGAAAGAGGATGGATTCGATGTCGGGTACCAACTAGTCCCCTCCCCTAAAGAGAGCAGACATTCTTGGGAGTGCTCAGAGACTGTACACAGCCTACTACCATTCTCTCGTGCCTGCTCTGCCCTGCCCTGCAGCACACGCTGACACTGGAGCAGTCTGACCATGCCAGGGCTGCTCGGCTCTCTGTGAAACACCCAGAAGGAGCATGTGGGAGACCCAGCTACCATGCCAGGATCCATCCTGTCTGGTGAGTTTGGGAGGTCACCTACCAAGCACACGTGTCCTTGAAGAGAACAGAACGCAAAGGCCCAACTCTGTGCTTAGGTCAATGCACAGGAATGTGACTTAGCGAGAAAGTCTTCAACAGAGCGGGCAATACTGCACTGAGATGTGGGGCAGAACAACAGAGCCACTGGGTTCAGCAATGGTCTGGAAGCTGGTGGTTCTGGCCTGCATGGATCTTCTGTAAATGAAGCTGAATATATGTGTTTTGACACTGCTTCAGAAACACTTAGCTTCAGAAACACTATGCTCCAGGGTTTTAAAAAAATTGGCCTGGTGGTGGTGGTACATGCCTTTAATCCCAGCACTAGGGTAGAGGCGGGCAGATCTCTGTGAGTCTGAGGCCAGCCTGGTCTACAAGAGCTAGTTCCAGGATAGGCTCCAAAGCTACAGAGAAACCCTGTCTCAAAAAACCAAAACCAAAACAAAATACTCCATGTCCCTCAGACATATATGTTGGCACCAACCCTACAAGAGAAGAGCCTGAGCACAGCACAGCTGACTCTTGTGTTCATGGCCCACAAGGCTGAAGTCAAAACATCAGCCACTGTGTTTCCCCAGGGCTCAAGAACCTTCTGATGCAAGACTGAGTGATGTGGGAGTGTCATATATCAATCTGTTGATTTCATTGGTTAATTAAATAAAGAAACTGCTTGCCCTGATAGGTTAAAACATAGGTGGGAAGAGTAAACAGGAGGAAGAGGAAGTGAGGTAAGACTCCTCAGAGACAGACTCGAGATAGCTCTGCTCTCTGGAGCAGAGACGCCAGGCTCTGCTCTCCCAGGCAACTCCAACCCAGGATGGACGTAGGCTAGAATCTTCCTGGTAAGTGTACCTTGGGGTGCTTACACACATTATTAGAAATGGGCTAAATTAATATGTGAGAATTAACCTAGAAGAGGCTAGATAGAAATGGGCCAAGCAGTCTTTAAATGAATACAGTTTGTGTGTTGTTATTTCGGGCATAAGCTAGCAGGCGGCTGGGGTGCTGGGGACGCAGCCCTGCCACCCGCTCCGATTTCAACAACTGAGAGTGTCCATCACTCTCTGGGAGCCATAAGGTGTTGGGAGCAGTGAGACCCCAGATCCTGAATTTCTTGTAATCCCCTGATCTGAGTGCCTACAGCTGCTCTGAGCACGAGACCTTCAGGAGTTCTGATGGCAGGAGAGTGGTTTCTGGTGGGTTTGGCTGGGGCGTGGCTATCTCTATATAATCTGCCTCCCAAACACAATAAAGGGGGCATTCTTGGTGAATTCAAGGATGACCCATGTCACTGTCTCTCTGTCTGTGTGTGTCTGTGTATTTTAACCTCCAGCCCCTTTCCCGAAGCTCGCAAACTGGGTGCCGGCGCACAGAGCACAGACACGGGGGCGCGGTGCGTGGCAATAAGGATTGTCTACGTCTCTCCCACTCCGGCTTCAGTCAGCATGGTTTATACAGACTCAAATGGCTATTTCTGTAGGTTGTGGACAGAGTGCAAAATGTTCCCTACATTTGTGTGTTTGGACAGCTGGTCCCCAGCTGTGGTACTGCTTTGAGAGGTTAAGGAACCTTTTGGAGGTGGGGCCTTCTTGAAGGGTGTGGTGTGCTGGCCTTGATCTCTGTTTTCTACTGAGATCTTTGCTTCCTGACGGTCAACACAGTGTAGCCATCTACCTTACCCACTGCCACGGCCCGAGCTGCTCCTGCTGCCACTGTGCCAGTGAACTAGCCACAAACCTCTTCTGGGCTGCTTCTTGTTGTGTATTTGGTCTTAGTGACAAGAAAATTGACTAATATAGAGAACATTAAACGTTTACTAGGATGGGGAGATGGCTCAGTGCCTAAAAGCATTTCTGTTTGGTCCCAGCATTCGCATGCTGGCTCACAACAGTCTGTAATTGTTCCAGGAGATCTGCTGCCCTCTTCTGGCGTCTGCAGGCGCCAGGCACACATGTGGCATGCATACACTCATATAGTCAAAACTCATATACATAAAGTAAAAAATGGATGTTAAAAAGTAAAGCATTCCCTGGAATTACAGATGTGCTGGGTTTTGTGGGGGTGGTGCTGGACATACGATTAAATTAGGAGGAGACACTAGTTATAAAAGCCCTTCTTCACCAGCACTGAGAAGTGCAGCTGGAACCGCTGTGCTCTAAGATGCAAGTTTGTGGTCATCAGTGTGTACTGCCTTCTGTGCAGGTCTGGAGATGATCAGGACTCAAAGCTAGGCCAGGATCTTGCTCTCCTGGGACTGGCAAATTTCCCCAAACACCAGTAATGGGCAGCTGAGAGTTTGTCCTTGGCTTAGGACACACATTTGCAAGTCTATCTGAAATTGCTCAGTACTCTGCCCACAGGGATAGTCCGAGCATTCTCCTCAAGGTGTGGCCATGGTGCACAATGGACTTCTGCTAAGCCAACAGCCTTCTCCTCCCTGTCAAGAATTTGGAAGTGGCACCAGAAGGGGGTTCAGGGACCCCCAAGTGAGGACAACTCACTACTATACAATAAGTTCCATACCTTAAAAATTAAATGTATTAGTTTATGGTAGGTGTATGTGCATATGTGCACAAGCATGCCTACATGTGACCATGTAACTGTGCACCATGGAGAGTATGTGGAAGTCAGAGGACAACATGGAAAATTAGCTCTCTACTTCCACCACGTGGGTCCCAGGGATCAACACAATTGTCAGGCTTGGCAGCAAGCACCTTTACCCATAGACTGTCTTACAGACCCTCTCTATACTTGCTGGTTAGAGATACGGTCTCACTCTGTAGCTGGTCTGGAATTCAACAGCAGTCTTCCTGTTTATCCCTGTGATCCCGAAAGAACATGAGGGTCACAGCAGCAACTGATCTGGTGGACGCAGAGGCCACTGAGATGCACCAGCTGACACGCAGCTCACTGCTGCTGGGGTCTGGTGCACTGAGGCCTCTAGAAAAATGATCCAGAAGCCCCATCACCCTCATTGGCGTGACTCTCTCTCCTTCAGAACAGGACAGAACTGGGGGTCCCTGCCGCTAGTACAGAATGTATCTGGGGACATAAAATGGGTAAGTCCCGTCAGCAGCTCTGAGAGGAGCCAGGGCACAGAGGTGCATAGCAAATGTGCATAGGGAAGAGACAGGTGATTTGGTGGGGGTGTCTGGCCACACCAGAGAGCCCTGAGGCGTATCTACATCCCCTCACAAGAGATGCTGGAGACACAGGGCGTGGGTGCATCACTCCCTGCTGGTGCAGTTGTGAGCAAGCAGATCACATGCTCGGAGCCTGCCTTCTGGTCCAGAAAGGTGATTGGTGGCATACAGCCTACAAGTCCACTGTGAAGTTGGGCACCCAGAAGTTTTTTTTTTAAGTATTTATTTATTTTTTTAGACAGGGTGCTTCATGTATGACAGCTTGGCCTTGATCTTGTATGTAGTAGAAGACAACCCTGAACTTCTGATCCTCATGCCTCAACCTCCTAAGTGCTGCGCTTACAGGCAGGAACTACGATACCAGGCTATGCGGTGCTAGAGATCAAATCCAGAGCTTTGTGCATGCGAGGAAAGTGCTCTACCAAGCTACACCCCCGACCCCAAAGTGCTTTTTATAAAAATTCAGCCATCACCACTATCCCAGGATTGTTACATGATCCCCAGCAGACATTTGACAGACAGCACTATTCTGCGTCTTGCCACGAGCTGTGGTTACACCGTTTGCAGTTTGAAATATGACAACAAAATGAGCCCAAACCTCCCTTCTTCACAGCTTCATAGGGAGATTCCTTCTGAGCACAGACCTGAGCAAAGACCTCATCAAGCCAGCATTCAACAGTTTCTCTTTCCTTATCCATTCAACAACTTTCACGCTGCGTCTAGGCTTAGCACTTTGCTGTACACTTATGACGAATCTGCTGGGTCGGCATCACGACTCTTTTGTCTGGGGGTCATATATGGAAATACGGCTCATTTTTGGCATAAGCACTGTGCTACATGGCCCGAAGACAGACAGTAGCAAGGTAACTTATGGGCAGGTGGTGTATACAGGGTGGATATGCTGGGCAAGTGGGTGACTCCCTTCTCAGGGTGGACCTCGGACTCCATCTCCCTACTCAAGAAAGATCCAGCACCTAAGAGATGGTTATTCCTGGAGTGGTTTAAGTGATAGCTTCAGATGGCGATTCACAGCAGGTAACTGGAGCCTGAAACTCTGGCTGGCCGTGTAAATGAGCAGAGAGGACACAGTGCAAGCAGCAGCACTTGAGACGTTGAAGCTAGCAACACGGCCAATGACCGGCAGGCAGACACTCAAGGTCAGCACTTTGTTGATGGACCCAGAGATAGACAGAGCTGGGCTCCAACCACCCCAATGGCCTGAACAGCACATGATAATCTCCGTATTTGGGTCAGGGGACATGCATGGTGCACGTGGTCCCTCCATCGGCTCAGCTCACAGCAGTCAAGAGGACTAACCAGCCTCAAAGCAATTACTTCAGACGTTGTCCAGTCTCTGCCATGGCCCCAGATGAACCCTAGGCAAGGAAGTCTGATGGCTTTCCCTCCTGGAAACCCTCCAGCTCTCAGGGGCTTTTCTTTATTTTCCTCAATCTCCCACCTTTACCAAATTCTCCTTAATAAAGCTTGCCTCCACCGAGACAAACTCAAAGCCAGTATCCCAGGCCATCTTTGGTGCCTCTAAGTGTTTGGCACCATTGGTCCTTGGGTCATCTCAAAACCCCTACATGACAGGGGTGGTGTCAATCATGGCTGAGTCCTCTCCAAGGACCAGCTTCCCCACAGTAGGTGAAGTGAGACAGACTGTCCTCTGCTGGGGCCAAGTGTGACAGACAGTGGGAAGAGAATGAGCTGACTGGCCCAGGGCACTCCGCGTCTCCCTTCCCATCTTCCCAGTGTCTGCATATCCCCCGCAGACCCCGCTTCTGACACCTCTCATCCCTCCTCCGCAGTGCCCCCGACTCACCTGGATGATGAAGCCGGTCGAAGAGCACTGGCGGACCCACAGGCTGAATTTCCGCTTTTTCCTCTTCCGCAGCTCACGCTCCGTGCATGTGGCGATAAACACGGGGTCCTCGTCAATCAGGGGTTCATGTAGCACCTGCGGGAAAAGGAAAAACACGAGTTCTCATAGGGCAGTGTGAGCCTGGCTCTCAGCAACATCTTCAGAAGGCTGTGTGACCATGCCGAAGTCGCTTGGCTTCTCTGACCTGAAGTCTCCTTACCTGCTGCTCTGGGGAGGATTCAGCTGGGAAGCATGGGCACACTAACCTACACCCTGACCTGCAGCAGAGTCCTTTATCAGCTATGGCCGTGGTTCTTGCTGTCCTCCTTGCACAATCCCACGCTGGCTATGCCTGTGATCTTCCCTGGCATGAGACAACAGGCTCAGAGCCCATCTTCATCCCAGGCCCATCTTCAGTGACTGTATCTGGAACCCTAGATCCTTGGATCATGTCAAAACCTTACATCACAGGGATGGAACCAGGTATGACTGTGTCCTATATCAGTGATTTATATCATTGGCCCAGGGTCACCAGGCCCAATTTGTGTCATTGTGTGTGTAGGTGTGGGGGGGCATATGTGAACATGAATGAAGATGTGTCACAGAATATTATTTTAAGATGTATTACATTTGTTTATGCTGTGGAATATCTGTTTAATGACACAAAGATGTGTTGTATTCTTTTATCTTGCATTTGTTTGACTCTGTGAAGCTGCCTGCCTGCCTAAAACACACTATTGGTCTAATAAAGAGCTGAATGGTCAATAGCCCGGCAGGAGAGGGATAGGTGGGGCTGGCAGGCAGAGAGAATAAATAGGAAGAGAAGTCTAGGGAAGGAATTGAGGAACAAGAAAAGGAGGAGAGGAGGATGCCGGGGCCAGGCATGCAGCCACCACAGAGTAAGGAGGAAAGAAAGGAATATAGAATAGAGAAAGGCAAAAGGCAGATGGGATAATTTAAGAAAAGTTGGCTAGGAACAAGCCAAGCTAAAGTTGGGCATTTGTAGGTATGAGTAAGTCTCCATGTATTTATTTGGGGGCAAAAGTAAAAGCAAACGAACAAAGAAAGCAACTACAAAGCTGTCGACAGGGGCCAGAGGCATCTGACCCTGGGACGGGAGTGGGAGTGGCTGGGAGCTGTCCAATGTGTGCTGTGAAGTGAGCCTGGATCCCCGGCAAGAGCAGCAAGCATTCGAGCCACTGAGCCATCGCTCCAGCTTCGACACCCTGAGCAATTATTAACTGTCCTTCACCAACGTCAACGTCTTGATAACATGATTTTATGACCTTTTCAAAGAAAAAAATAAAATAAAAAGACTCCAAGTTGGCTTTTCACACTGAAGTGCTTGGTTGGGAGTACACCGAGGCAGCACAGTGCATATTACAGTTCTCTCCCGGTTCCATTCCACGGTTATGAGCTATTAGAGTGTGCATCTGCTGTAAAGAAAGATGACATGCAGACATGCGGATTTCCACACGACACAGTGCTCTAAACGGAGGACTATCAAACCACTGCCTATTTTTATGAACAAAACTGATGGGAATAATTCTCTGCCCTCAACTGCTGCAGCCTTGTGGCCACAGGAAAGAAGGGACAGGACCCACAAGAGGACCATCCGAAGCCATCTTTGGCCACATGCGGAACAAGTTTCAAGAACCCCAGCTCCTAGAGACAGTGGTCAAGTGTGTCTCTCTCAGCACGTTTGAGTCAGCTCAGGGCATGAGACCCTTCTGAAGCCTTAGTCCATTCCATGGCCCGGCACGGGCACCCTGGAAGGTGAGTTCTGCACTCGTGACCCAGCATTCTTTTGGTAACAGTGCCTTTGGTTCTATTTTAAAAAGCATCGGCCTCAGGGCTTTTTAGATGGTTCCTCTTGCAGAGGGCCCATGTTTGGTTTTCAGCACCCACATGGTAGCTCACAACCTTGTAGAATTCCAGTTCTAGGGAATCCAATGCCCCCTTCTGATCTCTGTGGGCACTGCACACATGTACTGTATTTACATACATGCAGGCAAAACCACTCATATATAAAATAAAAATAAATCTTTTTTCCTAAGAAAGCATCAGCCACACCTCGCTGGTATGCACTGGCACACTCTACCCCTTGGATCTTTATTGTTGGAAAATCTTGAAAGTGACTTCAGGATGTGGCCCTGCCTCTGCTCGGTAAGGGAATGGACAAGGTGGCCTGCCTGTGCTGTAGCCCAGACCTTCATGCCCAGTTCTTCACAGTCCCTGACTCCTTGAAGCTTGTGAGACATCTAAAGCCCCGTATGGGACCATCTAGCAAAATGGACAATCTAAGGAGAGCACAGGAACAGGGAAGACAGCATGGAGGTGCCCTGGCTCCCTGCCCTTCCCCTCCATGCATCTGTTGTTTCTCTTCCTCAGTGAATGAGTGAGAGCATCTCCACACGCTCTTCAACCACACTGATAAGCGCATCCCAGGAGGGCCAGCAAGAATCTGAGTCTCTTCCTCCTCTGGGGAAAACAGCCAGCATCTCTGTCACACCGCACTATCCCTGAGTCCCCTCTGCGACAAGCCACTCAGGCTGTGCCAGGTAGCACGTATGGTAGACAAACATCTCTGGCTTATTTGCATAATCCCTCTCCAGGGATATTTCTCTGGTTAATCTGGCTCCTGCTTTGATGAAAATAATGTACTTGTATGTGAACGTCACACACAAAAATGGCTTCTTTTGCTGGCAGATTCTGGGGTCTTCTGAGGACTCTGAAAAACCTTCTGCAAAGGGTAACATTTGCTAGAACGATAGCTGCCAAGATTGCACACTGAGAGTTCATGTACCTGTGTGTGCATGTGCACACGTGTATGTGTGTGTGCACATACACAGACACATGTGCATGTGCCTGAGCATCTGTGTGTTCAGGGCAGTCACAATGGTGGTACAAGGGAGACAGGGCCGGGTCACTCCTGGAAACTGGAGCAAGTCCGACCCCAGCTCTGACAAGACCGTAGGGAAGAATACTATTCCCACCGACAAAGGCAGACAAGTTCCCAGGCAAGAATGTAGCTTTCCATGCCCTCCCACCACCCCACCTCTGGCTCTCACAAGGTGTCTGGCAAGTTCTAGAACAGTAGGGAAACCTGTGCAGAGAGTTCAGAAGCCCATGGACCTGAGACACAGTAACAGACCCCCACAAAAAGCCTGATGTTTCCAGTTGTGAAGAATAGGGGACCAGTACAGACTTGGGCCGAAATGAACATTAGGAACGGGAGCCTAGCAAGAGCCTCTTAGAAGAAAGTCATGGGCATCAAGAATGGTCCGTCTGTGTAACCAGATCTCTCTACAGGGGGAACTCAGCTTACTTATTAGGCACACAACTTCTTAATTTGAGTTAGAGAGCTTCACAGATATCAGCCACCTCCGTGGTGTGCTACATCAACAGCAGTTCTGAGAAGAGTCTGAGAGTCTGACACAGAGCATTCAATGGCACCTTGGCTGACACACACACATACACAGATACACATATGCATGTATGAACATGTGTGAAGATATATATACCTGCAAGTGCACACACACATATGCATGCACGACCATGTGTGGAGATATACATATGCACGCATGGACATGTGTGAAGATATATACATGCAAGTACACATACACATGCATGCATGACCATGTGTGGCGATAGATATACATATGCAAGTGCAAACACACATATGCATGCATGGACATGTGTAGAGATAAATATACATGCAAGTGCACACACACATATGCATGCATGACCATGTATGGATATATACATATGCATGCATGGACATGTGTGCAGATATACACATGCAAGTGTACACACATATGCATGCATGAACATGCACGGAGACACACACATGCACCTGGCCTCACCTGGGTCTGAGATGGCCTGAAGGCAGCATCAAAGCTGCTCTGCAGGGAGTCGAGGAAAGGCTGGACCTTGTAGAGCCCATGCGTGGTCTGGCTGGAACGGAAGGCCACGACATGGAAGTACTTGAGGATCTTCTCGAAGCGGGCCTGGCTCATGACAAGGGCGAGGCTCCGATTGCTGTAGAAGCCTCCACTCCAAATGCTGAGTACCGACTCGCAGTGCGAGACGCTGGTAGAGATCACATAGCCCAGGAAGGCCTTCATCTCGGCCAGTGTCACCTCCACCCAGGCACCATCACTGCCAAAGCGTTCCTGGAACTTTCTGGCATACATGTTGGTCTGCACCACCATGTTCTTGAGCACGTTATCTGGGACAAAGAGCTGGAAGAAGTCCACCGCGCTAGCACTGGGCGGCATCTTTCTGGTTGGACCTGAAACCCAAAGACAGACCAAGTGTTCACTCCCAGAGCCACCTGACAGGGGCCAGGTCCTCCTGGCCTTGGGCCTCAGGCCAGCTACCCTCTCTAGCCTCCTCTCCCTCCTGCATCTGACATCTTACCCAGTTGGAGGCCACGGCCCAGCTCTCCCATTCCCTGGGCTTCTTGTCACTTGGATGCTCCTGTCTCCCAGAACACACCCATCAGTCCCACCTTCCTTCCAAACCTGTCTCCATAGAAAAGCCCTGTTGTTCTGTTCCTTCCGACCTTGATCTCCCGTTCCCTGGTCCTCCTGTGCCAGACCCATCACACCTAGGCAGTCCCCGCAAAACTCTACAGGACTCTTGCAAGAATCTAGCTAACAAGAGTTCTGCCACGTGCAGCCCACCCCTAAAGACTGATGCGAGAGACATGGATGGGAGGAGCCTACAGCTCCACCGTGGCTCTCCAGCAGGTACCGTGTGAGGTAAGGGGACTCGGAAACTCCCATGCTTCAGCTGCGGCCAGCAGAGAGGAAACTTTACTAAGCATTCTCACATCATTTTAATTCTGGGCTAATTCAAAGGAAATAATGTAAGACAGTTTCACCACTGGGAGACAGGCCTCACACATTTTTACTGATATGGCCTCTTTGCACATGTGTACACACACACACACACACACACACAAAGACTCTTCTTAAACTTACTATAATATTTTCACCATGAACCAAAAACATCTTAAGTGGAAAATGCATGCGCTGCCCTAACCAGACTGCTCTAATTCAGTCACAGCACAATACAGGGTATCGGTTGCTCCCCTCACAATGGCAACTGACCAGGAACCATAGCTCAATATCACTGTTCCAAACAGGAGGATTATAAGCTGACATACTGCTTGCTGGTCATACAAAAGATCCAGGTTTAAAATGCAAATGTGGTTCCTACTCGAATACAACACTGCTTTTGTATTACCCTAAAGTCAAGAACTAACTCTCTCTCTCTCTCTCTCTCTCTCTCTCTCTCTTTCTCTCTCCCTCCCTCCCTCTCTAAGGCAGAGTTTCTTTGTGTAGCCTTGGCTGTCCTGAAACTTGCTCTGTAGACCAGGTAGAACTCAGAGATCTACCTGCTTCTACCTCCTGAGTGCTAGGATTAAAGACATGTGCATGTGTGTGTTTATATGATTTTCAGGAACCACTGATTGCAATTCTATTAAACAGGCTTGAACCAGCATGTTCTGGTTTGGAGGAATCATGCTTTCTTTTGCATCTGTGTGGCAATTTTTAATAAAAACTGCGCATATTCTCCAGAGCTTCAAAAGCCTTCCTTTCCCACCAGCTTGCACGGTCTGTGAAAACCCAAGCTGTTCACAGCAAAAGGAAGACAGATAAAGCCAATGACACGGCTGGATTTTTGAGCAGTGGCCAGACCCAGGGATGCAACTACCACATTTTTTTGTTTCCATTTACATGGGTGTGTGTGATGTGTGTCTGTGCATGTGTGCACATGAGTAGGTACGTGTGGGGGTGCACATACACCTGTGCGTGTGCACATGCATATGGAAGCCCCAGGTTGGAATTGTGAATCTTCTTCAACCATTCATGCCCACCTTATTCATTGAGACAGGGTTTCTCAATCAAACCCAGAGCTCACAGATATGGATCCAAACTCTAACCCTTATGCTTGCAAGGTAGGGCACTTTAACCACCAAGCCACCTCCCTCTCCTGATGACTTAAAATTCAGTTCACTGTGCATCAGACTGGCCACTTGCTCCCAGCTCTTGTTTTCTCTCTGTAGAATGGACTGAGGGAAACCAGCTTCAAAAGACTGTCTACAAAGGAAGACGAACAAGGCCACATGGTCCCCAACATAGCACCGGCAGGAGGAGATAAACCCAAGGCCTGGCAGCTATTGCTGGGACGCCAATAGGAAATCTCTGAGGGCTTTGTGAAATAAATTCTGGTCTCAGTTCATCTAGACAGTGGGTAGCCACCATATTCCCTGTCTCCTGACACATCGTAGAAAGTGCACCATGCTGACCCAGGCGGCCGTCCAGTTGGCATGGGGATGCTGAAACACAGGGCTGTGTTTGCTGGTGTGCCATAAACACAGCGCAGCAGTTTGTGGGTGGAGCCATAAATTATTCAGAATGGCATTCAGCAAGGGAGAGAAGCAGCATCGTCACTGCTGCCTCATGCTGAGGGAGAGAGAGGCGTGGGATTTTCTCTTCCTTCCTGTGCATGCCATTTCTGGATCCCCGAGGCCCTCTCCAGCCTGCTTCTCGGACACACAGCAAAGTGGCTGGGTTCCCTGACCCGTTCAGGCTGACAAGCTCCCTTGTTGGTCTTTTTTGGTGGCTATGATCCCTGTCACTCGGAACATGGTGACACAGGTTGGCTGCCTTGAAGAAGGAGGTAAGTGGTTGATCCAGCTCCTGCCTGCAGCCTCACAATAAGGCCACTTAGCTTCCTAGCCAGGCCCCACATAACTTGATGTCAGCCCCAAGGGGCACGAGCCCCACGCAGAGAGAATGTTAGAAGTAGGACATAGCCCATGCTCTCTGGGTGACTTAGAGCGAGCTGACTGTGTAGCTCTGCATGGGACTTTGCCTGCTGTCTGTGGATTACCAAGAATGCTGCATGGCCCATGGGAATGACAACCATGTATCTCTCTCCTCTGTGACACCCTCCTGCTGTCGGGTAGATAGGATAAAGGCATCTAGTGGGTAGCTAAAGGGAGCAGGGATCATACGTCATAACCAGGAGGACTGGGACATTGGGGGAGAGATCCGAAAGAAGTGTCACCTGTCGTTAGGGTCTAGTAAGAGTGGAAGATCTAAGTTCTGAGCACAAGTTCACACCACAGGTCGCTGTGTGGAGGTCCTGCCTTTACCACCCAGCCCCCTGGACACAGCTTCCTACTTCTCACTCTCCAGAACCCCCTCTGGAGCCTCTTCTATCCAACTTCCCTCTTTGCACGGGTCCCAGGTCCCGCTCAGACATGACTGCCTGTGCCACCCACTCTCTGACATCTACTGAAGCAAGAAGGCCAAGGAAACAGCAGTCACATTCTTTCTGTCCTCCAAACTCAGAGTGCGGTATGCTCAACACTCTGGAGATTAACGAAGAGGAGAATGGGTACCACATTCCATGGGCTGCAAAGGGCATCTTCGCTGAGTGCAGCAGGAAGAGCAGGGTGCCTGTGTCACTGCTTGGGGACAGGTCTAAGGGTGCCACGGAGAACTGACAGGACAAACAGAGGTTCAGTGCACGTGAGGGCGCCCCCTGCAGGCAGGATGCTTCGGGTATTGAGCAGAAGTGGTAAATGCCCAGCCTGTGTGGAGGCAACAATGGATCCAGCCCCGTTTTCACCTCTCAACTACCTTTCTCCAGCTGGGGAAAGCCCCTGGGGGACCACTCCTGGGCGTCCTCACCTCCCTCTGCCTTCCTTCCATCTCAAGCACTAAGTCAAACGCAAATAATTCAACCTTTGTAGTCTCCAAATAGGAGGAGAGCCACACAGCCTCACACAGGCAGAACCAACCTTGGCTGCTAGTGACATACTGGGTGGCTCATTCTTCATCCATGTAACATACTTCGTGACCATCAGTGTGGGTGTCAATGAACACCCCAAAGGCAGAACAAATCCCCAGCTCCACTCATCGGAATGGAAGAGCTTATCCTTGCATTTCCAGAATAGCCATGCTACCTGGGGTAGAGACAGCCATTGGAACACATCTTGGGGCAGATACTGTCATTGGTTTTGTGGCACAGCTAAAGATCAATTTGTATTTTAAAGGCTGAGTTTAAAAGCCTGGAATCACTTCTCTGCAGGTTAAATCATGTAAGTTCAAAACCATAGCTAGAATGTCCCATATCACCACAAACTGCCTCTCTGGAGACTCTGGGAATCTTCATTTGGTAAAGGACGGCGCAAAGTGAGGCCTGCAGCCCAGTGTGCACCTAAATCCCCAGCATCTGGGAAACTGAGACAGTGGATTGCCGTGAGTTCCAGATGAGCCTAGCTTACACAGCAAGTTGTAGGCCAGACTGTGCTTTACAGGGTAAAACCCTGTCAAGGAAGGAAAGGAAGGGGAAGGGAGAAAGGGAGAAGGAGAGGAAGGACAGAGGTTTCCTCAGGAAATGAGGGATAGGAGAAAGCAACAAGATGCAGTCTGGGACACGGACCAGCTGAAACACGGGAGGAACCGTCAGACAGAGAAGAGAGGTGGGAAAAGTATTCTGTACCTGTGCACTTGTGCGCAGAAGCCATGTGTGCAATTGGTTTGAAACCCTGGCTTCAAATTTTTGTTCAGATGTTCAAATGAACTTAACCCCTGGGTCCCAGGGGTTCACAGGACAGGCTGGGCACAGAAAACACATTTCTATTCTCATAATCCTACCCCAGCATTTAAAAATAACTAGAAAGTCCAAAGAAGCAATCAAAAAGGGTGTGGTCCAGACTGGCCTTGACCTCTGGAGAAGCCAAAGGCTCTACAAGGCTCAAGGGACAGGTCTGGCTCTTCCAGCTCAAACAAAGGGGAAAAGCTAAGACCTCTAACGCAGGCCAGACCCCTGTTTAAACACAGCTCCTTAGCAACAGCAGGACTGAGGGAGCTAGAAAGATGATGAAAGTGAGGTCACTGGGAACCAAATGGCCTAACAGACAGATGTGGATGCAACTCCTCCTCTACGTGACCTATGATGCCTGCCATGGACCTACTTTTATGCTCCCTGCTCAATGTGGGAGCCGGCTCTTCCTGGTCTGTGTGTGCAGTGTGCATAGTACCAGACTTCCTTCCCAGATGGACCCACTTGAACACCTGGGTGAGTGGTTGCCTCCCAGTCTCATAAACATAAGCACATCCAGCTAGAAGGCACTAAAGGTACAGCTTGTCGCAGCTCAGACAGACCCATGGTCCTTCACGGCCACACGGCCCAGCTCATGGGACTCACAGAGCTCCGTGCCCCACCTTCGGGCCCTCTGCTTGCTTTGACTTTGGGTATGCACTGGGG